CACCTAGTTTACAGGGATTTCCCCCCCCCCCATCTTTTCTATTAGAAATTGGATGGCTTTAGGTTTCATGTGGTCGATTTGAGTTTCATTTGTTTTAAAGATTCATTTAAACATTATTTGTAGGCATGTGCAGTTGTGGGGAGAGATAGTATGTGCATGTGAGTGTAGGTACCTGCATAGGCCAGAGTCATCAGGCCCCCTGGAGCTGGAGTTACAGATGGTTACCAGCTGCCATGTGGATGCTGCCAATTGAATCCTGGTCCTCAGAAAGAACCATCATTGCTCGTAACCATGGAGCTGTCTCTCCAGGCTTTGTTGTTTTGAGACAAAAATCTCATGTATCCCAGGCTGGTCCCAAACTCCCAATGTAGCTGAGGCTGACCTTAAACACCTGATCTCTCTGAGTCCACCCACTGAGTGCTGGATTGCAAGTATGTGCCACCACGCCCAGTTTACAAAAAGCAGGCAACCTAAATGCGGGGCCTCCCAGATGCTAGGTAGGCACGCTACCACCTCAGCTACACCTCAACCCGTCGGGTTTTGTTTACTATCACTGGGATGAGATTGTTTATAATCTAGGAATTTGATATCATTCCTGATTTTTATCTACTTATCCTGTCAGTCACTGAGAGAAGGGGTCTAAAGTCTTTGACTATAATTGTGGATTGGTTTTTCTTCCCTGCACCCTGTCCATCATTTCTCCTGTAGTTGTGAAGCTCTGTCATTAGGTACATGTTGAAGACTGCGCTATCTCACTGATGAAATGACCCCTTTATCATTATGAAACGGCCTTCTTCGCCCCTGTCAATACTGACACTGAAATCTCCCATATTTGAAAGTTACAGTCACTCCAAATTTCTCTGGGTTTATCCGATCGTGTAATACATCTTTCATTTATTTCTAATCTAGGTCTTTATATTTGTTTTTAGATCCATTCAGACACTTTAACTCTTTAGTTGAGATATTAAATATGGAATATTTACTGTGGATAGAGTTAAGTTTACACATAAGTCTACCATCTTTCTCTTCCGTTCCTTCTCCCTAATAACTAAAGTCTTCATCACTGCTCACCTTGTCTCCATGCTGGCTTCTTGGCTCTAACCTGTTTCTCAGCTTTAGTCTCATCTCGTGCCTGAGTGCCTAGTGACCTTCCAGTGAGCTCCCCCGTCAGCATGCACTCCATGGTGAGAATCAAGCTCCTCCCTGCACATCTCTGTACATTGCTGTCCCAGGTTCTACCTTCACACGTGTGACAAACTCTGGAGTGTCGCTTCATTATTTGTTAAAATAACTATTCATCCTTATCCCATAGTTAAGTTTGATGGGGGAAATCCATCATGTCCTTAGTGTTATTTCTTTCTGGTGCTCTCCATTTCTTTGTGTAGATCCAGAGTTTCACCTGGCAGTGTCCCTATGACTGAAGGATATACATTTCTAGTTCTCATAAATCTACTGAGGTGATGGATTCTTCCAGTGCTCATGGTTCTAAAACCTTTCTTGTGACATGTGTCTGTATATGTGCACACACATGTATGTGTGAGTGTGCACACATGTGTACACATTTGTGTGACGGCCTCAGGTATTGTATTACTCAGGTGACACCCACCACATAGTGTCTCATTGATCTAGACCAGTGAGCCTCAGCACTGCCTGGGACTGTAAACACAATGACCATGTCCAGCTTCTATAGTCCTTAAATGGATGCTGAGAATCAGACTCCAGTCCTCTGCAAGAGCAGTGTGTGTGCTTACCACGGAGCCCTCTCTCCAGCTCCAAGAACAATTTTTTAAGTTGAACAAACAGCACAGGCTGGGGAAGCAAGCTAGCCAGTTTCCATCATCAATACTGAGCTGTACTGGTGATGGGAAGCTGCCGAAAACAGAGCATTACGAACAGAGATTAAGAACTGGTCTGCAATTGGAACCATACAGCTGCCAATCAAGATGAATAGAGACAGACATTGTCAACAATTATGACATCCACCTCTACCTTTCCCTGAGCTCTCTTCCATTCACACTCAGTAGAATGAATCCCAGGAGCAGAGGTGGGATAAAACGATGTGTCCCCAGGAAAGGGCACAGAGCTGTGTGCATGCTGCCTTCTGCTCCTTGTTTCTGAACTCTAGGTTTCTACACTAAATGAAGGGACACAATCCACTTTCTGTTGCCATAGCAACATACCTACGGTTGGATACCTTATGTGGGAAACGGGCTCAGGTAGTTTATAATTTTATGGATCCAAGGGTGTGGCTCTGGGATCTGCTTGGCTCTGGTGAGGGCTTTCTAACTGAATTACAACATGGCTGACATCTTCTTGGTGAGACCTCAAGCAAGAGAGAATGACTACATGTTGACATGGGAATCAAGAGATTCATGGGACTCAAGAGATTCAATCATTGAAGATGCCGTGAGTCATCTTCAGTGGAAGCTAATAGGATCCCACAAGAGATGGATAATCCCTTCTGAGGAAATGTGCCAATGGGTTAGTTGTATTCCACTAGGCCCCATGTCTGAAATATTCACCACCTCCAACTCTGTCACAGAGAGAACAAAACCCATGACCCATGACTTTAGTCAGAGGACACCCAAACTATATCCAAGCCATAATACCTTATTCTCCCCGGTGATGTGACAGACTGACTCTAGCTGTAGGACACAGAGGACCTTCTGTACATCACCACAGATGGATATAAAGTGCTCACCAATGAGCCATCAGGCTCTCATCAGATGTGTGTGCCTCATCAGAACTGACCCTGCACTCTGGAGACTTCCAGCTTTCATGACCCCTACATGGAGTTGCTTAGAGATGGGTCATAGGCCAAAAATGATCTTTCAACAAATTCCTACTACTAGGTCATCTGTGTTCATTTAGAATATCTTCTAAAAAAGACCCTCATACAGCTCTCCCTTTGTTTCAGATGTCACTGGCTTTTTGGAAGTCACAAGGACTCTGAGAAATTTTAAATAATTTACTTTACATGCCATCTCCTGTCCGGGGAGGTTTCTGTGTTGAATTCTATTAACAGCTTTTGTCTTCTGTATAATGCATATATTAACAATTAAAAGCCAGTTAAAATAATTGAGTCAATTCACTAAAGCCAACAAATTAATTAACTGATGCATAATTAATTGGAGCAGTGAGGCATCCATTCTTTGGGGACCAGACAGGGGAGCTGTGATTTGTGTGTTCACAAACAGCAGAGAGCACTCAGCTGTGCTCCTGAAGTACACCCTGATACAAGCAGGGTCAAAAATGAAGAGTCAGAGGCCATTCAACCCACAGAAGGAGTACTCTGCCTTGGCAGGTCTCTTCAGCTCATGGAAACCTTACATCATCCATTCACCAGCGTGGTCTGTGGTAACAAGTGGGAGACACCCATCCCTCCCCCGAGGGGTGACTTGAGTGACATATTTATCTGACATAGCTCCAGAAGCGGCACGATCTGGTGCTAAGACGCCTGCAGATTAAAGTCCTGGTTCCGGCTCCTTTACTGACTTCTTACTGTGCCCTCATCCGGTGGAGAGAATGTCTGCACTCTCTTCCTAGTCTATGAGGAACACGAATCTCATCACATGGGCTCCAGGCTCTCCTGGCCAACCACTCAGCAAACCCTAGTGTATTCAGATTGTGACCTGAGGAGGAACCTGTCTTCAGTCCACTTCTGGTCCACAGGGACGTGGGTCTGGAAACTGAGAGCCAGAATGGGCAACAAGAGCAATTTGACAACATTATTGTTTATCTGTTGGATCTAATATTTAAAAATTGAGGCATATGATCCTTTGCACTAATTTTCCCATAACTCATATGCAGTGACTTATAAACTATAAAAATAAAGGTGAGAGAACTGGCCCTTTATTACAGACATTCCTAGAAAGCACTGGCTTGGAATATCCCAGAAATCTTTAAGCCCAAATCTGACAATATACTCCCTTGTCCTGAGCATGGGTTTGGAGCTGCCTCCAGTTTGCATCTGGAGGTGCCACTGTGCTTTGACGGCACCGAGTTCAGTGCCAGCTAGAGAATGAGATGAACAAAGATACGCCAAAGCCATGCCGTGGGGAATCTACCAGAGAGGATCTCTAAGACACAGCTTCAGCCAAGAGAAAGTCTGTTAGCAAGCTGGCCACTGCACTGGGTGTTCGGGACCCACATGCTGCCCCCAGCCTTTCTCAGGGTGTGCTTTTAAGGCCAAGAATCGTATCCTGGGTTGACACACCTCAGCCAGAAGCAGAACTATATTGATGCCAAAATGTAAGATTAGTACATTCAGGGACTTTCTCGGAACTGTGGACTTTGATGGGTTAGGTCTTTGTTCTCGTTTTGGTGGGTGTTGCTGCCTACGTTGTTGGGTTCCAAGGCCCGTATGGTACTTCCATCATGGTGTTGGTTGTACCAAGGTCTAGCGGCCTGCTAACATCCAGGGTCCTGTGACAGCCACTCAGGATGTAAATAACAGAGCTTCACTGATGCTGCTTCTGAATATGTGCCTACTGAGAGGTCTCGAGCTAACTGCGAAAAGTCACATTATCATACAACCGCCAGCTGCTGCCGTGCGTTAGAGCAACGGTTCTCAACCTGTGGGTCGTGACCCCCCCTCTGGGGATTGAACAACCCGCATATCAAGATATTTATATTACAATACATAACAGTAGCAAAATTATAGTTATGAAGTAGCAACAAAAATAATTTTAAGGTTGGGGGGGTCACCACAACATGAGGAGCTAGCTGTATTAAAGGGGTCACCGCATTAGGAAGGTTGAGATCCACTGCATTAGGGTATAGCAAGTGAATTAATGTCACAGCTCAGAGGACCAGAGTAGTAGGGACTGTGGACTAACAGGCCGAGGCTTTTAGTAGGGGACTGACAAAAAAAAGAAACCTGACTCATTGCAGGGTTGGTGACATTCTGACCAACAGGTGGGGACTGAGAAAGCATTTTAGGCCATTTGCTGTTGCTGACACAGCAGACAGCAGACTGGAGAAATTACACAGGGGCTTACTTCTGCTCATGGTTCTGGTCCAGGGTCCAAAGGTGACTCTGTTGATGGCCTTCTTGCTGGAGTCCCAATGTACTACAGGGAACTACACGGGAAGAGACAGAGAAAGCCTGAGATGGAGCCAAATTGGCTTTTACTGCAGACTCATGCCGGAAATGACCCATTTTCCCAGTAAGCCATTACTGTCATGAACGGGTTAGTGCATTCGCTAGGGCAGGGCCCCAACATCCTGAGACAGGCTCCATTTCTTCACCTCACGATGAGATGAGATTCCAGTGTGGGTGTCGGAGGAGACAAACCGTTCAAACAGAAGGTCTTTCCCTGTACCCCGTATTTCACTGACAAGAGTAATAAGGCTGGTGTTTGAGCTCAGTGGTCAAACACACGCCCCGCATGCACGAGGGAGGCCCTTAATTTACCCTAGCCTCATCCCCCACCCCAGAAGGTGGTGACAATAAAACCGTGCTCTGATTTGACATGAAGCAATCTAACAAGAAGACCTCCTAGCAATTTCCCCTAAGGCCTTTTCTTGTGCTGTTGTCGGGATAAACAGCATCCGTGGGATGCCGGGTAGGCCTGTCTTGGTGATAGATCGGCTGTCGTATGCACATAGATAGACCATAGGAGATGGCTCTCCATGGCTATCTAACATGTCCCATTGCTTGGTCCTGCTGTGGACATGAGCTTTGACTTGAGAATGAAGGATCCCTGTGGTTTGGCTTCTGTGCATCAGTAGTCTGTGAAATATGACAGTAAGGTTTTAAAAAAATGAAAGCAGTATTCCAGAAATGGAATCTCTTATTTAGAGACAACCATCCTATCACGTTATTCGAGGAGAAAGTGGAAGAGATGGTCAATACCATCATTCACTGGGGTGTGTACCTAGCTAGCATCCACACGGTTGTATGAATGGAGACAAATCCAACTGAATCAAGAGCATTGTAGTTCCCAAAACTGAACAGACGGCTTGATATAACACTCCCTGTGCTCTCTTCGTCACACTGAGGCTAACATCCATGCTTTTTAGCATTTTACAGTGAGTTTCCATTTGACCTTAGACTGTCACCAGGTTTATAATGCAGAGAAGTGATGATATCTGAACAGTTAGTGAATGTCTCTCTGCTATGGTGTCACCCTAATGCCCACAAAGGAGACTCCGACCCACAATGCTACTAAGGGACGGTAGAATCTTCAGGAACAGGGAGTGTGAGGAAGGAAGTGAGGTCGTTGGGGACACGCCCTTGTAGAGAAATTGAGGTGCAATGTCTCCCTACCTCTCCTGGCATCCTGGCTTCCAGGAGATGGGCAGCTTCCCACCATGTCTTCCCACCATAATGTTCTCCCTCACCACGGCTCAGAAATACTGGACCTTTGATGGAACCCTCTGAAGCCACCACCCAAACAGCCACCACCCCCCTTTGTAGTCAGTTTTACTAGGGCAGGTACACATCACAGTGATGGGAAGATGACCGTCGCACAGACATTTCTAGAATACTTCCATTATACTGTCCCTTGTCTTAAATACTTAAATGTTTTTCCACTTGGCCTCATGGAAAACTTCAAAGTTATGTGTTATGGTGACCAGACACCCAGATTCAAACTCAACCATTCCAGCTTTAGAAAGTCTGCATAGCCCTCAGCACAGCGAGTACCATAATAAATGAGGTCACAGCTATGTGTCATTATTATATGGGGAGTCAAAAGCACTCTAACGGGACAATCCGTGACTGTCTTCCCAAAAGAATGGGGATATGCCACCGTCTTCAATCCCATACCCAGACCCAACCAAGTAAGAAAAACAGTTTAACCTTGGGGACAAGTTTTAGACAGAGGATTATTTCAGAGATGGCCATGACATTTGTCCTGGGGGCTGGATGTTGCATAAAATATATTTCAGGGGAGCTATTTTCTCCCATTCTGCTAGGATAGTAAAAAAGCTCAAATACGCACATTCCCAGTGGTCCATGAAAGGCTGCATACATTTAAAACTAACAGCATGTAAGGATATCAGATCTTTATAGCTGTGCCAGAAGAGACTCAAATACAGAGGGCTACAGTCTCCCGGTGTGGGTCGGAAGGTGTTACAGAAAAACAAAGGGGACTGGGGATAACTGGAGGGCATTTCAGCTTCACTTCTGGTTCATACTGTCTATCTTCACCTCTGCACACACAGATTCCATGATTCTGTGTCATGAGCAGACGGAAGAAGCTTCTAGAAGAAGCATTCGGTGCCTCAGTACACCTCAGTGAGAACTGTGCTTGCCACCTTGCCACAGGATGGCCTCTCCTTGAGCTGGAGTCCTGGGATTATTCCTTGCTATACAATCCTATCTTACTCCTCTTCAAATTTTATTGTATGAGCTTAACAGTTATCCAAAGCAAGCTGCCTGGGTTCACATCCCTGCTCCACTCTGTACAGCTGTTGTCTGTGGGAAAATACCGAATCTCAATGATCAGGAGCTCAAGGGACCAGCAAGGATTGCATCTTGTGCCCAGCAGGTGGTCAGCCATGAGGTATTGGTCTTCTCCAAAGTCTATCCCAACCTCCAGGTCAATAGGCAAATCAAAATAAGTGTCTCAGACTTGACATGATGAAAAATGTAACAGAAAGTAGAATTACTCTGTGTTCTCAGTACCCACTTGGCTCCAACCAAGAGAAAGCAGAGGTGTCACTGAGGAGAGAGAGAGAGAGAGAGGTGTTCTCAGTACCCACTTGGCTCCAACCAAGAGAAAGCAGAGGTGTCACTGAGCACAGAGCAGCTCTGGGAGTCGGGGCCCAGGCTCAGACAGAAGCACACTGGCAGAACCCCTTCCTCGGATGTGACAGCGGCGTTGTGGATGCCTTAGGAGAAAGCTGTGTGCCATTCCCTCTACAACATATTTTCTCTCCAGGCTGACGTCCTTCAGAATCAGCTGCCCCCTGGGGATGTGGTGGCCACGGTTCTGACTCCTGGGTGGTGGCCAGCTCTGACAGTGGTTACAGGGATGCAGGCCACACTGTTCTTCTTTCTATGCCCATCTCTTTGGTCCTCTCTGTCCCCAAATTCTCCACCTTCTGAAAGTGCAGCATTCTCAGCAAAGGTTCTAACCAGGGGAGAAAGCTACCCACACAGATTATATCAGGCTGTGTTCTGTTCTGTTCTCACATGAACGGACCACCTCTGTAACATGAATCCATATGTATGGCTCTTGAGACACATTGACTGTTCAGGGTAGGAGAGACATGGGACACATTCCTTGTGGCCCTTGGCCAGTTGCCTCCCTTCTCTCCTGGGTAATGGGTCCCTCAGGATGAAGAGTCTGCAAAGGAATTCCATGCTGAGAGTGAGGACAAGCCACCCCAGGAGCCCTGAGCCAGAAGGCCTTCCCTCCCTGAGAAAGGACATCTACATGTGCACATGTTTTATCTTTTTCTATAAGCGATAACACTGTGAAAAAGGCACAGACCAGTGAAGAACTCCTTAGTTCTGATCAAAACTAGAAATATAAGAATTAGTTTTTATCGCTGTGGACTATGTCATTTTGAATTGGGCAAGTGTCCAGACCCAGAGCTGGTCCATGGTTGTGGTTCTGGTATCATTCATGAAAGTGTCCAGACCCAGAGCTGGTCTATGGTTGTGGTATCATTGAGGCAAGTGTCCAGACCCAGAGCTGGTCTATGGCTGTGGTTCTGGTATCATCCATGAAAGTGTCCAGACCCAGAGCTGGTCTATGGTTGTGGTTCTGGTATCATTCAGGTGGGACTTTCAGCATATCCTCTGGTACACTTTAAATCTTCCCTAGTTGACTTCCAGGACTCTTTCAGCCATGATTCTCCCTGGGTGCCTGTCAGGACTACTAGGGCCATGTGAACTGACTTTTCCCCGGCTTCTGGAAAACATGACTTTTCCTTAACATGAACATCACTGCACTCAGCATCACCTAGCCAGCCTTTCTCAATGTCCCTCTCATGTTCCTTCCACATGCCAAGATGAAGGTGCAGGAAAAAGTTTCTTGAACTCTTTTGAGGTGCGCCTCAGCTGCCACCTCCTGACAACAAGACTCATGGAGAGTAGTAAGTGTAGTTTCTGTGGCAATAACATCTCCCCAGAGAAACCTGGGAAGCATGGTCAGATACGAGACGAGTCTCTCCTCAGCATCTGCCGCATGCTGAAAAAGCAAAACAAAATAAAATGTCCCTCAGAGACACTGAGTTCACATCCTTGTTCAAGAATTTACAGTGTTTTGTAGAAAGAGGAGTCTTCCTGTATGAGATTAAAAGAACTCAGTCGACTCTAGTCCCCTCAGGGCCTCCTGGAGAGTCCTGGGGGCTGTGCTCCGAGGATGGGGGTGTATAAATCTTTGTAGGGGATGGGGAGAGAAGAACATTCCAGAGGAGAGGCACAGAAGGGAAGTCCAAGTGGGTCTGTGGGCCACTGATGTTGCCATTCGATGAGTGGCCTGGTCCTGAGCAAGGTTTACAAAGATGGGCTTGTCTCTTGGAAAGCTTGAACTCTAACCTCTCTACCTAAGTCAATAGAAAACATGGAAAGTTGCAATAGAGAACGGCGTGTAGGAACACAACGGAAGGAGAAGGCGGAGAGAAGGCCGTCTGTGAGGAGAATGGGTAACTCAGCTCAGAGGAGATCATGGCTCCCCCAGAGAGGGGCAAGAAATGAGTTAAAGGCAGAAGGACTGCATATCCATGCATCCCCTCCCTACCCCGTCCTCCCATCCTGGTTTGCACCTGATTTTGCTCTCTCATGATTGACGCCCTGTCTACACTGCAAGAGCACTGGAGTGGGACAGCCAGCTGTAACTGCCCCTCAGTATCCGCACATATTTGTCCCAGCATCATACCCCTGTGCATACCCTAGCCAAGGACACTCAAACCCAATAGACAATGTGATGTCATGTTTGAAGATAACTGTACATGTTCCCGAGGACTTCAGAGCATGTGTTTAAACCGCCTAATACATTACACGTGCTGTGTAAAGAGTTTACACACTGTATGTATAGGGAATCGTGTGGGTTACTTTTTAGTCAACTTGACAAAAGCCATCATCTGAGAAAAGGGAACATCAATTGAAACCATGTTTCTATCAGGTTGGCCTGTAGGCTAGCCTGTGCGGCATTTGCTTCATTGCTGATTGACATAAAAAGTGTCCAGCTCACTGTGGGGGCAGTACCACTCCTAATCAAGGAGCCCTGGGGTGTATAAGAAAGCAAATCAAGCGAGGAAGAGCAAGCCAGTAAGCAGCATTCCTCCGTGACCTGTGTTCAGCCCCTGCCTCCAAGTTCCTGCTTGAGTTCCTGATTTGGTTTCCCTTGATGATGGATGGGACCCATAAGCCAAAGACACCCTTTCTCCTCTAAGTAGCTTTTGTTCATGGTGTTTTATCACAGTGGCAGAGAGCAAACTAAGACAGGAATAATGACTAGAAATGTGTCACATTCATATACGGTATGTGCTATAGTTCATGGTTGCTTGGACCTGTGGGTGTGGAAGCCGGAGACAAAGAAAGTGTCAGAGTGTGACCACTGCAGCTAAAAGCAATGTCAGACAGAAGGAAGCAGATTTGGGTGGGAGGATTCTGGCTGTGGAGATGATGTATTTGAGGTAATGTTTGTGCTTCTGAGTGGGAAAAGAGTAACAAGAACAAGCAGGATGGCCCATACACAGCCAGTGCGTACTCTGTGTCAAGTGGAATTCAGCCTTCTTCACTCCACCCTGAGGAGTTCACCTCAATCACTATTCTCCCTTTACACATCCTGTGAGCAGTAAACAGAATTTCAGGCTTTGCTTTAGAGGACGACTTCGAAACACACAAGAACTGGTGAATCACCAAGATGAGTGATGGCGAGACGTTCAAGTGTGCTGTCAAACAGAGAGGCAAAGGATGAGGGTGTGGAGGAGAGTGGAAACAGCAGGAGGAAGAGGTCAGAGAGACAAGGAAGTGATTAGTTAGAGATGGGGAAGCCTCAG